GGCAAGCACTGGGAGCATCAGTGAGCACCGGGAGTGGGCACTGGGAGCAGCGGCAGGCACTGGGAACTCACACCGGGAGTGGGACCGGGCACCGGGCACCGGGCACCGGGAGCGGCTCCGCCGGGATTCCCGCGGGAACAGCGACACCTGGCGGTCGCCGCCGCTCCGGCCGCCCCCTCCGCCGCTGGGACCCCCGGGCTCGGTAACCGGGCGGGGGTCACCGTGTCCCCGGCACCGGGACGGGGGTGCTGCCCCCGGGGCAGGGCTGCCACTGACCCCCCCTCCCGGCCCTGCAGGTTCGGGTGCTCCTCCACCTCCTGCCAAGAACCTGCCGCTGATGCTGGGACTTGCTCTCGTTCTGGGATGCTGGGGAGGAGTTTTCTAACCCCCATCAGGTAACTGACCCCAAGGACCCCTGGAAGGACTCCTACTCGGGCAGACGGGGGGTGTCCCCGGGTACTGTGTGTCTGTGGAACTGCTGGCCACAGTGCTGGGCTGGCCATGGCACCAGCCTGGCTCTAGTCAAGGCAGCCACCTGGCCTGGGAGCCTCAGAGGCATCCCAAAGTCAATCAGCGCTTCCAGCCCCTGCTCCAAGAGCCCTGGTCACCCTCAGCATTGTCCTACTTGTCTTTCTGTCCCTTATGGCTGTGGACAAAAATGAGAAATGCCACCTATGCACCCCTGAGCTCCAAACCCACAGCCAGGATGGGCCTGCTCACACTGCACCAGGGCAGCACTCCTGAGACCTGCCCCATCTGCAGCTGAGTTACCTCTTGGGAGCTCTGGGGGGGATGGTGATGTATTTTGGAGAGACAGGGAATGTGGCCGTACCAGGGCCAGGACCCCCCCAGCTCACAGCAAACTCCCAGCCCTGCAATTGCCAAACCCCAGAGCTGTGCAGAGCCCATCTGGTTGTGCCAGATTCACAGGACCTCTCCACAGCAGGGCTGAGGCAAAAGGCCTTCATACAAATCCAAACTTCCCTCTGCAGGAAGCAGCCCAGGATCCCTCAGCCAGGCTGCGGCTTAGGGGACAGCAGGACACCCCCCATCCCACAGGCCCAGTTCTGGCCCTTCCAGCATGGCATTCCAGCAGCCCCAGACACACCCCAGATGCTGTGGTGCCTTTCCCCAACCCTGTGCCTCATCTCAGGGGCTCGATAAACATCTGTTGCCATAGAGACTCACTCACTGTATCAGCTTCACCCAACGAGATGAAACAAGAGCCGCACCCTCAGAAAAACAGGAAGAAAATGTTTGGCTTGAAGCCGTGCTGGGGTGGGGGTCAGGGCGGCAGCGGGAGGCTCTGAAAGGGGAGCGTGGCCAGTGCTGTGCACACCATTGACATTGATATTAATGACAGCAGTGCACAGAAACCTTCCCAGTTATCCTGCTGGTGACCTTGGGACTTTCTGTGCAGGTCAGCACATCCATGCCCGTTTTAGAGGAGGAGGCAGCCAGCTCCATTGGGACGTTGATATCCCAGAGATCCCAGCAGAGTCTGCAGAGCTCAGAATCCAGTGGTGCCAGGCTCCATATGCCCCCATGCCAGTAGTCCTCAGGGTGCTCCAGTGGGTGTGGAGCAGGATCACAGACTCATGGAATGGTTTGGGTTGGAATGGACCTTAAAGCTCATCTCACTTTAAGTCCCCTTTCCACTACACCAGGCTGCTCCAAGCCCCATCCAACCTGGCCTTGGACACTTCCAGGGATGGGGCAGCCACAGCTTCTCTGGGCAACCTGTGCCAGGGCCTCACCACCCTCACAGGAGAGAATGTCCTCCTAACTGCAGTGAGGAAGGGACTGTCCTGGAGGAACACTGAACTCTGCCATACCCCTGCAGGAAGGTTTCCATTGCTTCTGAAATCACAGGGTTTGCCATGGGACACACCTCGGTGTGGCTGTTTTCACGTGGAGTGGCAGGACATAAAACACTGGACACAGTACTTGGTCTTGATGCATTTCCAGCACGGAGCATCGTTCGATCTCTGTGCCTCTGAGACCCGGACCTGCTCCTCCGTCCCCCCGCCTCTCTCCCGGTGCCGTGCCGATGTCCCGGTGTCCCGGTGTCCCGGTGTCCCGGTGTCCCGGTGTCCCGGTGTCCCGGTGCAGTACCGGCAGCCGGCGGCCGGGGGCTTCCGAGCCGCGCTCACAGCCCGGCATTCCCGGAATCCCGGCATTCCCGGGATCCCGGCACTGGCGGTGGGAGCTTCTCACGGTGAAGCCCCCGCTCAGAGCACCTCCCAAAACCCGTGGTGCCCGCAGTCACCAGCCGCTCGCCCAGAGCCGCCCGCTGCCCCGGGGCCATCAATCCCCCGGAGAGGGACTCGCTCCTCGGTCCTGCGGGACAAAGCCTGGGAACCATCTCCGGCAGCCGCCGAGCCCGGGGGATCCCCAGCACCCACCACAAGGCACAGGGATGCTCCAAGTGATGCCCTGGAGATCCATGTCACACACTGCAATCTCCTGGTCCCCTCCTGCCCCCGACAAAACGCTCCGGGATGACGAATGGGATGACGAATGCTCCAACGTCCCAGACCAGATGGGTGAGATGGATCCTTTCCCCCGGGGGTGCAAGGAGGTTTAACCCCACGGATGCACTGAGCTGTGACAGCCTAAACTGGCTGTTGCCCCTCTGATCCGCAGCCCAGAAGCCATCTCTAGCCCAGCCTCTTCCCAGGAAAATCCAAAACTGTCAAAATTTGCATGTCCTTTGAGTCTTTGCCAGCCTTTCCCACTGCTCCTCACACCTTGTGCACTGGTACCGTGGGACATTTCCACCAAACATTTCCCGATGACAAAGCTCAAAGTCCAGCCTGGCCTTGTCCAGACACAGCCACTGCCTGATCCCCACATCTCCCCCCGCCCTCCCATTCCCACATAATTCATTCCCCGTTGCCCCCCTCTCCGGGCTGGGGGTCACACGGCAGGGAGAGCCCCGCTGTGTATTGCATCCCAATTTGCCATGCATTTCCACACCATTTGCTTCCCTTTCTTTTTCCTGCACTGGGAAGCTGCTCACTGCCCAGGGGTCCCAACTGCTTCAGGATGGGAAGATAACAACAAAAATACAGGGACACATATTTATTTACGGAACACAGTATGCAGGGACACTGCTGCCTCCCAAAATGCCCAGTCTGGGGGTGGCACGTGCCCCTATGATTCCCACATGTGGCCATGGGGTCCAGACATGATTCCCACATGTGGCCAGGGACCACCCCATCCTGGCAGCTGCACAGCTCCCTACCCGGCTGTGGTACTCAAATGATATGCAGATCTCTGTGCTTTAATTGGCTGATGCCTTGGGAAAACAGCCACCATTTGCCCACAACAAACATGGCCACCGTGGCCCAGTCCAGGGAGCAGCACAGCCCTTCTCCCTTCAACAGGCAAAGGGGACTTGGCTCCCCGTCCCTTCCTCTGACAGCAAACCCCAGCCCTCGCTACCTAAAGAACGCAGGAAGCACAGCATTCCTGGCATGTCTGACGTACTTGGGAAAAGCTACAAAATCATGTTCCACCAGGTTAGTTCAGGGGTCTGACTCTCATTTTTAAGATGCCAAAGGTTTTCTTGGGTGGTTAGTGAGTTTTTTGGCCCCGCTGTCACTTTGCTTGGCGGGAACACAAGGCCAAGCTATTCAGTGTGTGTTCCTGGGTTTCTCTGGGAAGGTGAAGCCTCTCTCAGGGATCAGAAGCACTGAACTCAGCCTAAAGGCACTTGCAGGTGGAGCCACAACTTTGGCAGCAGCTGGGGGAGCATCTCCTCATGCCCCAGTCAGCCCCCCAAGCAGTGCAGCTCCTGTGGTAGCTCCAGCCAGTGATGCCCAGGGAAGCTCCATCACTGGGATGGTCCCCTCTGGCTGACCGAGTGACCCACTCTGCCAGGGGTATAAAGCAAGGAGCCCCCAGTAGCCCAGGGTTGCCCAGGACCAGTTCCCAGTAAACCTCTGGGGACAGAAAGGAGATTTCCAGCCCAGGAAACAGCACAGCCCTTTTCACCCTCAGCTCCCCATCAGTGCAGAGATGGGAACTAGACATGTGTGGTGTGGGGGCTACACAGTATTAGACACCGTGCAGGGCTGGCCATGAGGGACCAGGGACAAAGCTGTGAGCACAGCCCCCCAAACACTGATCATGTGGTCCACAAAGACTCCTGAATACCAAGGACTGCTCCCACTTCCGACTTCCAGCCCCTCACCAGCTCAGCGAGCAGGGGATGGAGCACCCCCGCTCACACCAGCCTTCCCTTCCTCACCCTGGGAGGGGAGAGAACAGCAACCCTACCCCTGTGTCCTCGTGGGGAGCACAGGGACTCCAGCACAGAGGGACAGCTGGGAGGGGAGCCCACCCAGCGTCACCTGAACTGGGGCTCATTCCCAACAGTGTCCATCTCTCAGAGCCAAATCCCTGCAGCCAGGAGGGCCCCACATGCTCCTCATCCCTTGAGCAGCGCCCACGCCGCCGTGATGCCAGAATGTCCGTGCACAGCTCAGGCACACAAGGATGGGAGGTCACACGGGGCTTTTTCCTAAAATCTAAGGGGTGCCGCACACAAAGAGCCGAGCTGGTGGAAGGTAAATGCACTCAAAAGAAAGAAAAAGTGCGTTGCTGTGTTACAATTCTGTGTCACCTTCGGCTAAAACAATGCTCCTACAGCTCTCCTGGTCAGCGAACGGCCACGGTAATTGTCAAAGAAAACAACGAAAGGCGATAGTGCTCGACCCAGGACAACCCCCGGCATCGACCCAGCACCCCAGGCACATCGCATCCTGCAGCCCCCGGGTCACCTCCACTCCCTAATGAAGCGGCTGGTTTCCCCTTCCCTCATGCGGGGGGTCCACTGTGGTGACATTCCCCCCGCATCGGGGACAGCCCAGCACGCCCGCTGCAGCTCTAAACGCTTTTCTAAACCCAGCATCGCTAAATCCAATGCCACTAAACCCGGTATCGCTAAGCCCAGCATCGCTAAGCCCGGCGTCGCTAAACCCGGCATCGCTTACCGGAGGCGGCAGTGCCCGGGGTGCGGACGAGGCCCCGCGCAGGACACCCCATGGCCCGTCCGGCTCCCGCTCAGTCCCTGCACGCCGCGGGCACCCAGGGGCGAGGGCAATTCATATCCCTGCGGCTCCCGCACGGTTAACGGCAGGCTCCGGGCCCGCGGAGGAGAACTCCCTGAGGTGCTGACTCATCTTCTTCCATGCCTGTAAAGCACCATATTTCATCCTTCCACGCCCACAGCGCACAACCGCCGTGCAGCAGCTCCTCACGCCGCCCCGCACGCCCCGGTGCGCGCGGTGCCGGCGCGGTCGGTGCTGCCGCACCCCCGGTAGCGCGGCTCGGGAGGGACCGTGGGCCGGGCGGGACCGGGCTGCGAGCCGGCACCGCGCGAGGGTCATTAACACAACCGCCCCTACCCAGGGAAAGCCTTTATTCTATTATAATCAACTCTTGTAGAACGAAAACGTGTCGGCGCTGCTGCCGCCTGCTCCGGCCCGGCGGGGACCGGTGGGGGCTGCCCCGGCCCCGGGATGCTTTGTCCCCAGGAGGGACCCCGGCTGCCCGGGCGGGGGACTCGGAGCCCGTGTCCGCGCAGGATGGACCCCTCGTGGGGTCGGACCGGAGGGATGCCCCCGTGGGCCGGGCCCGGGGACCCCCCCCCCCGCGCTGCCCGGGGAAACAAAGCCCCGGGCCGGGCCGCCCCATTGTCCCCGCTCCGGCCGGGCAGCGGCCGCCCCGCGCGGGAGGAAGAGGAGGGGTCGCCCGCAGACAATGCCTCCCCCCACCCCCCACGCTGGATCGCCCCGCCCCCCGCTCCCCATTGGCCGGTCGGGAATTTGGGGACCCCCCCCCCGCCCCTCCGCTGTATTGTGCCGGGGGGCGCGCGTGGATGTGGGGGGGTGAGAGCGCGCGCGGCCGCCGTCGGGGGCGCGCCCGGGGGCTCCCCTTGTGTGTGCGTGTGTGTGCGCGGGGGTGTGCGCGGGGCCGGGGCCATGGAGGAGCTGAGCAGCGTGGGAGAGCAGGTCTTCGCCGCCGAGTGCATCCTCAGCAAGCGGCTCCGCAAGGTGGGACCCGCCGTCCCCGCCGTCCCCCTCCGCACCCCCGCACCCCCCGCCGCCGGTAACGCGCCTCTCCCCGTCTCTCTTCGCAGGGCAAGCTGGAGTACCTGGTCAAGTGGCGAGGCTGGTCCTCCAAGTGAGCGGGGCGGTGCGGGGCGCGGGGCTGCGCGGTGCGGGGCGGATCGCGGAACCATGCGGTGCGGAGCGGGGTGCGGGGCGGGGCGCGGGTGCCGCCCGCCCGGCCGCTTTTGTTCGGGTCGCGCCGCTCCTTTTGTTTACAAATAAGCGCGGCCGGGCCCGGCCCTCCCCGCTGCCGCGTGGGGCTCCGCTCCCACCCCCGGGCCGGGCCAGCCTTCTCCAGAGCCCCCGCACCCCCCGGCCCCGCGCCCCTCGCCCGCCCTGCCGAAACCGGAGCTCCCCCGGGATGCGCGGGGCTCGCCCCGCGGCGGCGTGGCCGCCCCCTCCCCGATCTCCCCCTCCCGCCCCCCGGCTGTGCCCGTCCCCGGTGCGGGGATGCCCCGGTCCAGGCCGGGCCCGGTTGTCCTTGGATGAACCCCCCGGTGCTGGGCCGGTACCGGGGATGGTGTGGGGGGGTCGCCCCCCTGCTCTGGCCCAGTCCGTGTCTTCTGTTTCAGACACAACAGCTGGGAGCCCGAAGAGAACATCCTGGACCCCCGGCTGCTCCTGGCTTTCCAAAAGAAGTGAGCGAACTCTAAATATTTCTAAGCAAACTATAAAGTTAATTAACTTCTAATTGGCTGCGCGTGCGGTGGAAGTTGTGGAAACAACAGCCTGGAGCTGGCTGGTCCCTTTGTGGCTGGGCCCTTTTGTTGGTCCCTGGAGTCCCAGTCCAGGTCCACCTGGACGGCTCTGCCCAGGCCGGACAAACGCCGAGGGTTCGTGGCCCAGTTGTGCTCTGGGTGCAGCAGCAGCACTTGGCACAGACCTGGGGCTCCCCGTCCAGCAGCCACAGACCCCCAAGGGGAGACAATGCCTGGGCTTGGAAGGCTCAAACAAACTTCTGGAGGGTGAAGCTCTGGGAGGGTGAGGGAGTAACAGAGAAAATCACAGAATCAAAGGATGATTTGGACTGGGAGAAACCTTAAAGCTCATCTCATTCCACTCCCTGCCATAGGCAGAGACACCTTCCACCAGCCCAGGTTGCTCCAAGCCCCATCCAACTTGGTCTTGGACACTTCCAGGGATGGGGCAGTCACAGGTTCTCTGGGCAACCCATGCCAGGGCCTCCCCACCCTCAGAGGGAAGGATTTCTTTCCAATATCCCATCTAACCTGCCCTCTGGCCGTGGGAGGCCATTCCCCCTTGTCCTGTCATTCCAGGCCCTTGTCCAAAGTCCCTCTCCAGATCTCTTGGAGCCTCTTTAGGTACTCAAAGGTACTCTGAGGTCTTCCTAGAGCCTTCTCCAGGGTGAACAACCTGGATGGCTGAACAAAATGGTGTCTGTCCTCTGTCAGGGCCATGGCTCCTCCAGAGCCAAGCTGGGAACAGCAATTGTTCCACAGCCTTCATGTCCCAGGATCACACGTGGAGGGGAAAGAGTAGCCAGCTGGCTACAGCGGACACAGAGCTGCCAAGTATTTTGGCTCCATAATAATAAAAATCATAAAAGTTTATTATAGGATTCAATTATAACTGGTTTCTGGATTCCATTTTTTCAAGATTAGGATCTGGTGGTGAGTGCAGACAGGACTCAGGACTTAATCAGCCAGATTTGTTACAGTTTAACACAGTCCTATTTAAAAGGAAAGAGTGACCTGAAACATCCCTGTATGAGCACCTTGGCTTTGCCACCTTTGGCCTCCAGCCTGGGCCACCACGGCCAGACCAGGACGTGCAGGAGAGATGGAAGGAGCCCAGCAAAGGAGGGAACTCACTGAGTTTGTAGGGAATGCATTTGCTTTTCCTCTGCTCAGCTCTGCTCTGCAGGGGTATAACCAAGGCGAGGTTTAGTAGGGCCAGGGATGATCCTTCCCTTTGCCTGATCCCCTTGTACCAGAAAAACAATAAATCTCACAAAAAACTGGAAAATCCACAGATTTGGGGTATGTAATGCTGTGTGGTCCATCACTGATGCTGGAAGCTGTGGGAATGCTACTGATGCAGACAGGGATGCTCTCCAGTCCCTGACTGCCTCAGTTTCCCCAGATATTTTTTTCTTCCCTGCAAACATTGTCCTTAATCCTTGCTTTTTTCAGGGAACATGAAAAAGAAGTGCAGAATCGGAAGAGGGGCAAGCGGCCCCGGGGCAGGCCCAGGAAGCACGTGGTGAGTCCTGCCAGTGGTGGGAATCCATGGCTGTGACGGTGCTGTAGGGGCTCTGGCCTTGGAGGGCACGGGAGGGGCGTCTGCCCAAAGCCCAGGAGGGGCTTGGCCTTGACTGCAGTGAGGGCTCAGCAGTGCCTCCAGACCCTGGGTCAGGGGGTTGTTGCTGGCAGTGATAGACAGGTTGGTGAGAATGCCTGTGAAAAGAATTCCTCCATCACTGCTCTGGTGATGGTACAGAAGGAGACAGAAGAATTCCCTGGCACTGGTCCAACTTGGTATCTACTGCTGACCAATTCTGTGCTCCCTAACTCATCAGATCAGCTAACAGATCCCTAAAGGTCAGCTGTGTGGAGAAAGAGCCTGTGGTGCCTGAGGCCCCTGGCCAGGCTGCCCTGAAGGGTTTGCAATGCCCATGACGGCTTTTTGGCCACTGCCCTTAACTCCCTGTCTCTGCTGCTTTGCAGGAACCAGAAATGCCTGCAAAAACTAAGTCAAGTAGCTCCTCTTCCTCCACATCCTCCTCTTCTTCCTCCTCTGATGAAGAGGATGAAAGTGACCTGGAAGCAAAGAGAGGTCCCCGCAGCAGAGAGACACACCCGGTGCCACAGAAGAAAGCTCAGATCCTGGTGGCAAAGCCTGACATGAAAGACGCTTCCAGGAAGAAGCGTGGGCGGAAACCTCTTCCCCCGGAGCAGAAAGCAGCTCGAAGGACTGTGAACCTGACAAAGGTGCTGAAAACATCCCGGAAGGAGGTGGGGGGCAGTGCCAAGCTGGTGGGGAAGCTGCAGCCTCAGCACAGCACACAGGGCTCGGGCATGGCCGTGCTGAAGGACCCACCAGGTGCCTTGGCTGGGCTCAGCTCAGGAGGGTCATCAGCAGAAAACCTGCCCAACATGATGAAGAGCGGCTCGACGAGCCCCAGCCAGGCCATCAGCTGGCAGAGCTCCATCGTGCACTACATGAACAGGATGTCCCAAAGCCAGACTGCATCTGAGAGCTCGGCTCTGGGCAGGCTGGCACTGAAGGCACAGGCAGCCAGTAAGAGCAGCTTAGGGCTGGACTTGAAAATGAGGAGCCAGAAAGGCTCTGGGGAGCTGGGGCTCAACGTGCAGGGACCCAAGACTGCAAAGGCTCCCGGCAGTGGTGCTGGAGGAGACCAGAAATCAGGGTTTGCTGCGGGAGGCCAAATGCTGCCCAATGGCAGCAAGACGCCAGCGAGCTCATCTGGGGCCAACGTCCAGGCAGCCTCCAGCCAGGAGCTGAACCTCCAGGCTCTGAACCTGCAGAGCGTCAAGAACGGGCCGAGCGTGGCCGGCGGGAGCAGCCTCCCCCGGCACCTCTGCGGAGCCCTGGCCAAGGGCTCTGGTGGGGGCACGGCCAGCGGGGGTGCCGGCGGTGCCAAGGGCGGGGCGGTGGGCACCGGGCTCGCCGGTGCGCTGGCAGGGGGGGATGGCAGCAAGGGCAAGAAGCAGCCACACCGGGCAGGGGACAGGGACTTGGCCAAAGGTGGCTCAGCCGGCGCACAGGAGGGGCACGCGGAGAGCCGCAAGCCCTCTGCCCTGTCCGAAGTGAGCACGGGCGAGGACACCAGCTCGGATTCAGACCGGGACTCGGCTTCCTTCCCAGGCGTGGGTCAGAACATGTCTGTCTCCATCCAGACCAGCCAGGACTGGAAACCCACGCGCAGCCTGATCGAGCACGTCTTTGTCACCGATGTCACCGCTAACCTGATCACAGTGACGGTCAAGGAGTCCCCCACCAGCGTCGGGTTTTTCAACCTACGGCAGTACTGAGCCCAGGAGTGTGAGAGAAGGGAGAGGGTCCTTCAGCCTCACCCTCAGCTTTGCCCAGCTCTTCCATCAGGTTTTCTTTCTTCAAGTGATTGTGGAGACCTCGTGAGACCTGCTGGGACTCGTAGCTGGAGAGGCTTGAGAAAGACGTGGTGAAACCTGCTCCAAACTGCCAGCGAGTCGTGGATCCCCCCGGCTCCTCTCCATCCTTTTCTGAAGCCGTGCCCTGTGTGGGGGTAGCCAATGCCATTCTCCAGGAGCCAGGACACTGGTGCTGCTGGGGGTGTCAGGCTGGCAAGTTTTGAGCCAGGCTTCACTGCACACAGGTCTCTTTGCTTTACAGCTTGAAACAGCAGATGCCAAGGTCTGCAGCTCACTGACCACGGGGAGGTGTGGAGCTGCCATGGGCCAGGCTTCCACCTGGGAGAGGACTAGGAGATCCTCTTCTGTTCTCTGGGCTCCCCATGGATCTGTCTGTGAGCTGTGGGGAGACACAAGTCAATCCAAATGAGGCAGCTGCTGCTCCCAGCCCTTGGGGCTGGGGGGGGGTGGCTGCATTTGGGGGTTTTTCAGGGTACACTCAGCCCAGCCACCCCCCTGGGCGAGGTCATTTCCAATGATGGGAAACCCACGACGTTTTCGTTGGGGTTTCCAGCTGATAGGGAACTATTGTTTACATTTTTTATTAAGGAAAAATCTTTTTTTTTTTTTTTATGAGAGAGGGAAATAAACCCAGTCTAGGATAGGTTGAGTCCTGGATGCCGCTAACGGGATGGGCAGCAGAGGTGCTTTTTTGGAGGGTGCCTCCTTTCTGTCCAGGGAGGATCCTGCCTTGGGAGCCAGAGAGGTCCACTGGTTTCCCTGGAGTGACTTGACTTCCAGAGGAAAGTGAATTTCTGGGCAGCCCGGGGAGCCTCTGTGCCACTCCTCTGCCTCATCCCAGCATCGCCATTGTCTCTGTCTCCTGCTCAGCAGTTTCCAGGCACTCATAGGCACCGAGCTGGGGAATATTTTTAAAGCCTTGCAGAACGTCCAAACCCTTCCAGCAGCAGGTAGGTCAGTGCTGGGGCTGCTGGGCACTTGTGAGGTTGATGCTGTAATTTGGGACAAGTGAACCTTCCCCACCACAGCCCAGCTGGAGCTGCCTTGGCTGCTCCCTGGGTTAGATTCACACTGATCATCCATGTTTTTGTTCAGATGGAAGGCTCAGAAGCTGGACAAGGACACCTGCACAGGTGGGGTGGAGCAGTGGGAAGGGGAAGGAGAGGACAGGGAGAAGGGTCAGGGCCAGGGGGTACCTTGGGCTGCTGTTCTCTGAGGACCTGGAGCCCTCAGCAGCTGCTTGCCTTCCCTTTACTGTCCCAGCAGCTGGGGTGTTCTTTTGGCTTGGAATTGCACCCAATAATGGCTTTTTCACTGCAGTATTTTCCCTACTGCAGATTTCTACAAGCCAAAATTAGCAGCAGTTCAGGCAGAGTTTAGTAGCATTTGAGGTCATTTTAGTTCTGTTGGTGCTGAGTTCTTTTCTTGGAGGTGATGAACAGCTGGTGGCTGCTCGCTGTCCTGCGTGGTTTGGAGGTCCTCCCAAAGGGATGCCCCACCAGGGGCTCACCAGGAGACTGACCTGGCACCAGGACAGGCATCTCCCTTTGCCACAGGCAGAGCCACTCACAGTGTCCTCACACAGGAGTGATACATGGACCAAACTGGGGGTACAGGTACTTCTGACCCCCACCCCCAACACAGCACCCCCCCACCATCACAGCTGCTGCCACTGCCTGGCAGCGGGGCCGTTCTCAGGTGAAGGAAACCCTGCCCGTGCTGCCTGCTGGTCAGGGCATGGCTGGATTGCTGTTCCCTGAGCGGTGGCTGCAGGCTCTGCCTGGGCAGAAACGCTCCAGAAATGCTCTCCCTCCATTTTCAGATTTAATCCCCAGCTATCCTGAGGGTTGTGGTTCGAGTTTTGTGTTGTGTAGCTGAGCATGGTGTGATGTGGGGTGGGTGGAGGGGGATGGTGCCTCACTGCAGGACCTGTACAGGTTTCTCAGGCAGCCCCAGCTCTGCCTCAGCACAGCCCAGAATGTCCCCTGGACAGCCTGGGGCAGGGGACACACGGCCCCCAGCACAACACTGTGCATTGTTCTGTGAGGGAAGGGGCTGAGGGGAGAGAAGGGAACACTGGCCATGGAAGAGGTTCCCAAGGACAGTTTCTGTCAAGCTCCTCGATGCCAAAATGTCACAGTCTGTCCTGGTTTACCTTCTAGTCTTCTACTTGCCAAACGACCTCCAGGGAAGCTTTGTCCTGTGTCAACAGAAACCAGTGTCCTAGGCATGGTCTGTACTGGGCTCTTGTGCTGGGGATAGGAGTGTTTTGGGAGTAGAATCAAGGAATCTGGGAGCGCAGGGGTGACACTCTGCCCCACACACCAAATGTTTGCTACTTGGCCTTTGCAAATCCAATCTGATCAATGATGTGCCTTTTGGACCGTCCTTATCTCAGCCTCGTCTGCGACACCGGTCCCACGACAGGTTTGTGCCTATGCAAAGCAGGGTGGCTGCAGGGTCCCAGGGCCACTGTGACACCATGGGGAGAGGTGTCCTGGTCCCCAGTGAGACACGGGGCTGTCACACAGAGCCCTGTTGAGGGGTGCCCGCAGAGGGGAAGCCGGCCCAGCAGGGATGCTCTTGCCTGCAGCAGTAGGATGTGGAGATTGGTTTCCCCAAGGGGGAGAAGACATCTGAGGAGGCCCCAAGCAGCTATGAGAGGGCAGGAGATGAGCTGTGAGAGCGGGTGCTGTGCTGGCTGCACGCCAGCTCTGAGCTCGAGGCTCCCTCCAGAGCCCTCATCAAAGCTCCCCTGTGTTTCTCCATGTGGGGGCTTGCTCCTGCCTCCTGACTGGACAAAAAGTCACTGGGCCTGAGCTTGTGCCCAGGAGTATCCTGACAGCAACCCTCCATCACCCACCCTTCCCAGGTAGGTCCCCTTCCAGCAGCGTGGGACTCTGCTGTGATCACTTGCTATTGTGCCTTTTGCTGACCAGCTGGTTTGATTCCAAAGGTCTAAGGATGGTGAAAATGATAATCCAGGATTTTTTCTGACCTTCAACTCCCTGCATGTTTCTTCCCTAACCCTTTCCTGAGCTGGTGTTCCAGGTTCTCCCAGCAGTGCTGGGGTGTCTGAGCACACGGTTCCCATTGGAGTTTGCCTCCCAAAGGCACATCATGTGAGTGATTTATTGGAATCTTTTGTGGACAGGGGTTGGAAGCTGGTGCAGACCCTGGTTTGCACCGGGGTCCATTAGGATTCAAGGTGTACTTTTTTTTTTCCCCCTTTTTTTTGAGTTTGCTGCTATGGGTTGGTGTGTTCAGCCAGGTATCAGACAGGCAATTACAGGTTTGTCACTTGTCATTTTCTAAGGGGTTTCCGATGTGGAAAGTCCTGCAGTATTTGTATATTGAATGGATATTTTCTCCAGGCGTAATCTGGTCAAGCATCCTTGTTGTTTTCCATTGGACTGGAAGAGGTGGCTGATTCAGCCATTTTCCTGAGAAATTGAGTCTATTTTTATATATATATTTTGTACCAAAAAAATACCTGGAGTTCATGGAGAGATGGAGATAGTTTAGGGGTTTGGTTTGTGTTGAGTTTCTGCGCTGGTGTGTGCCTGAGTGTGAAGGGCTCCAGAGCCAGGAGAAGGGGTTTACTGGCAGAAATTGAGGAATGGGTGAAAACAAACAATTGTTCTTGTAACTTGTGCCAGTCACTGCTCTGATTTGTACGTTTTAATTAAAGAGAGAGCCAAATCGGTCCTGTATGACACTTATAATTGCTTTAAACTGCAGCTGTTTGTTTGCTTTTATTTTCCAAGAACAAAAGTCGGAGATGTTATTGCCCTGGGAAAGCATGAGGGCTGTGGGAGCAGGGCCGGGTGCTGGTCCTGCTCCCCTCCAGCCTCCCGGCCCCTCCTGGCCCCTCGCTTGCGTTCCCTGTGCTGTTTTCCAGTGTTCCTGGACGCTAACGCTAGTGTAGCCCCCCAGCTCTAGGCTGCTTTTAATTTATTTGCAGGAAAACACTAGGAGATGGTTACGTCGGGTGGGGACTTTCGTGTAACTTTTCCACTGTTCTTTTTTAGCATATCAATAAATATTTTTTTAAACTTTTCAGCCTCGTGTGGTCACTGCTCTGGGAGCGCCCCCGCCCCCCTCCCCGGGCATCGCCTGAGGCCACCCCGTCCCCGGGGCACCGTGTGCTCGGCCCGGGCTGCCGCGGGGCCCCGGGACGGGGATGTGCGAGGCGGGGGGGGGGGAACAGGAGCCGGGGAACCGGAGCAGGGGAACGCCCCTTACTTCCCTCCGGGGGTCCGAGCAGGACGCGGCCCCTCCTGGCCCCAGCCTCCCCGGCTGGAGCTGCGTCTGCACCGGCGGGGAGCTCACGGTCAGGTGCTTCCGACCGTTCCACCGGGACCCGCCGGGGTTCGCGGGACGCGCCGGGCCGGCCTGGCCCACGGAGGGCGCTGCGCGGCCGCGGAAGGGCGCGGGCGGCGGCCCCGGGGCTCCGCCGTCGGGATTGCCGTCGGGCGGGAGCCGAGCCCCGGCAGCCGAACGCCCCCCGCCCCGTCCCAACCCCCGCCCCCACGCCCACCCCGCGGGGCCCCGCGGTCCGTGTGAACGGGCCCCCCCGCCGGGCCGGGGGAGAAAGGCGCCATTGTGCGGCCCTTCCTCCCGCTCCTCCGCGGCGCTGGCAGCTCCCGCGGCGCGGGGTCCGCGCCCCACCCGCCCGAGCAGAAAAAGGAGGTTAATGAGGACACGGCTTAAAAAACCCACCAAACCCCCCGCCCCGCGCTCCCCCCCCCCGCCTCCGCGGCCGGGGCGGGTTTGCACACAAAGGCCGAGCTCGCCGGGCAGGGGCCGCCGCACCCCGACCCGCACCCCCGCCCGCCCCGTCGGAAGGGCAGAGCGCCGCGGCACCGGGCAGCGCCGGGACCCGGCCCGGTACCGGAGCGGCGGCCCCGGCGCTGTTCCTCGGACGGGAGTCACTCACGGCTCCCGCCACCACCCCGTCCGGGCAGCGCAGGATCTCCGGGGGGACGCCCGGTGTCACCTGCGTCCGGGAGCGCCCCCGCCTCCCCCCGTCCCTTCGGGTCCCGGCCCCAGGCCCTTACAACCACGATCCCTTGTATGGAGGGGGGATACAGGGCCACCCGTCCCGTCGGGGCCCCAGCACACACCACACGGTGTTCCCGGGCACCCCCGGCCACACAGACCCCCCTCGCCCCGGGGACCACAAAGGGAAGCCAGACACGTTTCTATTTACAAAGTATATATTTAAACTGACATAAAAAGCAGGTCTCAAATGGACATTCACGGCTGGCAGAAGACACGTAGTTAAGCTTCACTTCTGAGACTGAGATTTAGCCAAATCGTTTTTGTACAAGTCTTAGATTTAAATAATTCCCACGCGCACACCCGCACACACACACACGCAGGATACACGTGGCTATGTACAGACACACATTTACACCCACAGGTACGGTTTGCTCCAGGTGTGTCGGGACACACACGGACACGGGGCTGGAGCAAAGCCCCGACAGGGCAGGAGCGGCTCCAGGCTCTTTGCAAAGGGAAGGATCCTCCGGCTTTGGGGGCAGCGGGAGGACAGACAGCTCAACCCCCTCATCATCCTCCAACACCACCCGTGTCCCATGTCGGCGCTGGCACCGGGACCAGCGCCTCGCCTCCTCGTACAAACCAAGTTAAAAATCTCAATTTTACAAAAATATGCCTCAAAAAAATAAAAAAAAAAAAATAAAAAGGAAAAGCAAACTGAATTCTCAGACACCATGGCTCCCTTTGCACAGCCAATCCAGCATCCTCCTACCAGGCACCTCACGGGTCCCGAAAGGATGGGGAAGGGGACCGGACAAGGTGGAGCTGCCGATGGGCCCCACAACGAAGGGGTGCCCCTCGCCCAGCCCCTTCCCCACTCTCAGGCTCCCTGGTGGTCACTCCCTGTGAGCCCCCTGAGCCAGGAGCCTTCAGGAGCCCAGGGACAAGGGGAACCTGGCCCAGTTCAGCCCTCAGGCACTGCCAGGTTTGTGCTTCCCATCTGACTGATGCCCAGAGCCAGGTGTCGGGACAGGGCCACCTGCTCCATCTCAGCCAAACCACAACCCGGGCAGGGTCCCACTCTCCCCTCTGTGCCACGCTGTGGCTGAGCTGGGGGAGCAACCTCCACCAGCAGGGAAACTGCTGTGCCTTCTCCAGGGCCATGAGACCCTCCCTGCCCCAGCCGGGGAAGAATCCCAGTTCCGGGAGGAATCCCACGGGCAAATCCAGCAAAAAATCCATCCAAGCCGGCGGGGCTGCTCCACACGGGAATATTTTGCCTCTTGGCTATTGTTTAACCAGCATAAGGAAAGCGAAATATTTATTGTCTCTGACTGCATAAAGGTGGCTCTGGGATTTGTCAGGGATGTGGGTATTACAAAACACTTTATCGGGAGTCTTCCAACAGTCTGAAGTAAACTGTGATTGAGAATAAAAATAATAATCCACTTTCTATAGCAGAATAAAGTAACTAAATATGGGCAGTGAGATGCTCCCTCCCCAACCTCTCTGGCATTTCAGGAATGTAAACAGAGGGGGGTTTTGTTGGGGTTTTTTTGTTTTTAGTGGGTGGGGGAACAGAATCAAGCGACCAGACAAAATGAAAACAGATTCTCAGCTCAGTCCCATCTCCCACAGCTGCTCCGACAACTCTATTAAAGTGCATTTCAGTATCACCCCTCAGGAACCTTACACACACAGACCTCCTCTCCTCTGCAAGAAAAGGGAATTCAAGTTAATACTCCAATACTTTTAGCCTTTTTATGGATTTCTGCTTTTCCCCGCCCCGATTTTGTAGCGACATTACTTTTTTTGTTAGACTGGAAACGCCCCATCCCCAACAACACTGTGAATTCAAGTGCTCACGTCAACTGTCAAGGGCAACAGTTCTGGACACAGCACACTTGATTGTACAAGCAACACCTTAAATCACAATCAAGAAATCCGGGCACTTCGCCCTCAGAGGGAGCAACACGTCCCCCTCCACCATCCATAGCATCATATGAAAAATAATAGTTAAAAAAACCCAGCACATACTTAGCTATGAACACCGTTATGTACACCGGCTCCTGCGGCAGATGAGTGAACTCGTTAGTTCTCAGTTTTATTGTCCTTTCTAGGAGCAACTGAGCAGTCACTGTTGTCTCCATTTAAATAAAACAACTCAGAGTTGAAATATATATATATAGATATATATATAAGCATTTTTTCTTAAATAACATATTTACATCTAATAGAAAATATAACTCTAGAGATAATCTTTCCAACGAAATGTAAGACGTGAAAAAAAAAAAAA